AAAACGTAAATTATTCATCACCAAAATATTACTATATTATTATTTTTTCTATAAATATATCTATTTTATAATAAGGTGAACAAATAAATTTAGAGGAGTTGTACCTCTCATTTTTTAACTCAAAATCAAATCAATTAAAAAGCACCACAAATGAGTAGCTAATTGGATGATTTATAGTGGTTGAGACTTGAGAGTACACTATTTTTTATGTGGCTCTTCCACACTCCAAATAATTACAAGTCAATATTAAAAAAAATGTTTAAAAGTACTTTTTCCAACTTCCAAGAAAAATAGTTGGCTCCCTAGAAAAAAGCTAGCCCTGGCAGACCAATTACTTTTGAAACTTTCAATAAAAATACCTTCTTCTTCTTCTCTTTCAAACTGTTCCTTCTCAACTCTTCTTCTCTTTCGCCGGCGGCTTGTCGGCTTTGTCGACATAAAAATAATCTTCTCTTCTCTCTTCTCTGTACTTTTTTCAAGCTTTGTACTCTTTACGTCGTCGAAAATTGATTTTTTCTTCCCCAATGTTTTCTCGACTGCGGTCAAAGTGTCCGGATTAAATTGACCGAATTCGACACGCACCCCGCACCCGCACCCACACCAGAATCGTGTCGAGACGAGTTCGCCTGCAAAAATGAAGAGTCCGTGTAACTTAGCTTTCGGTAGATTTCTCATTGTCTTCTTACTCGTGATCTTTCGAGGTTTGTTTTGCTAACTTCCGCATTTACACCTACTTATTTTCGATCCTATCAAGTGGTATCAGAGTTAGATTCAATGATGGAGTCAAGTTTATTGGTTCGATAATCGATGATTGAACCAGGTTAGAAGAAGGTGTTCATCTTGACGAGTGTAGTTCTACCCGCAGGCCTTTATGACAGTAATGATGATTTTGTTGGAGAAATTATTTCAGAGAGGTTCTTTGTGTTGAGACATAAATTTTGCAAAGGAGATTTTGGAGAGGAGAAGCAAGTTGTTGAAGATTAAGTAACGAAGGTGGACAAATTTATTTTGTCAGAAATTCAGGCCAAAGGGGAGATTTGTTTGGTTTTATTTTGCCTTGATTTCTTACCATAAATAGGTTTTCCTTTTAGGAAAAGGTTTTGGATTGACTAATCATTTTTCTGGTAGGAAAAGGTTTAGGACTCTATAAATAGAGGCATGTTCCTTCTAACTTAATCAACATTCACAATGTAGTCTTAAAGGGCTTTGAGAGTTTGGGTTAGGGGGAGAATTTGTGGGTCACAAGTTTGATACGTTATCACCTGTGTTAACCTCCCATGTATTCTGAGTGAATTGGTAGAGGTTGTTTCTCTCTGTATTTTATACTCTCATATTTATAGTGGATTGCTCACCTCCTTTGTGGACGTAGGTCAATTGACCAAACCACGTTAAATCTTTGTGTCTTTTGGTATATTTCTCGTTGTCTTCTTACTCGTGGTCTTTTGAGATTTGCTTTTCTAGCTTCTGCGTTTACACCTGCTTATTTCCGATCCTAAAAAAGAAAATAATGAACTTTCTAAATATTAATGTAGCTTTGTAAACCATATTGTAATATTTTGTTGGCACTCATTGTTGGGTATATAGCAATAGTTAATTGGAAATGGAGGAAAGATGAAAAAAGAGGTACTTGAAAGGTTCTTAGTAAAAAGACATTTCTCCCTCATTGGTTATTGAAAAAAAAATTAAAGTGTTTAAATAGAGAAACACTTCTATTAGTTGTTAAGATGGGTCAATATTATATTTTTAATGGGTTAGATCAAGTGGAGAGGGTCATTAAATAGGTTAAAATGACATCTTTTTGTTATTTAAAATTTGGTTCTTATATAAAAAATTTATATCAACAAATCTTGATTCAAATATCAAGAATGGATAGTTGAGTGACTTTTGAGATAAAATTCAGAAATGAGTGACTTTCTAAGAAAATCAATAAATAATTGAGTGAATTTTGAATTAAAATTGAAAGTTGAGTGACTTTCTAAGAGAAGAATTCATAGTTTAGTGATAGTATGAGATATTACCTCAATCAACAAACCAATGATTTTATTTATTTTCAGCTATTATCTTTGAAGTTGATTACATTAATGTTGGGATTTGTGCAGTTTTGATGATTGACAAAGAAGATGAAACACGTCAGTCAACATGGTCCAAAGGTGCACTATCACGAGCAGTTGAATTGGAGAAAGTTGTTAGAATGAATAAAGACAAGAGTGCAGAAATAAAGAAATGGATAATGATAATTTCGTGAGAAAGCCCAGTGAAAATAAACATCTGATTAAATGAAGAATCAATGAGTTTGATTTGAAGGAGTCTAAAGAGGCAACGAGTTTTAATTTAACAAGGAGTTTCACTTAAAGTAGAACTCTTCAAGTTATTGTTGAATTGAAGTGTTGGAGTTTGACTACAATACAAAAGAATCAATGAATGTAATTTAAAGAAGTCTAGAGAAGCAACGAGTCTAAATTGAAGAAGGAGTATTACGAACTCTAAGTCAAGAGAGCTTAAGTCAATAAAGAGTTTGAAGTAAAAAATAACTCTATGAAGAGTTGTACTTAAATAGAAGTGGAGTCGTTCAGAATTCTAGTGCACTTACATAGCAAAAAGAGCAATTCAGAATTTGACTTTGCAAGTGCTACCAATGAAATGAAGGGATACATCGAAAAACTTCGTCCTTTTACAAAGTTTATGTGTTTGGAGTTTTTCACTGTGAATGAGTCTTGATGTAATCTTAGTTTAGTGAGCTATAAACTGAATTAGAAGTGTTGTCTTCAGGTTGGGATAAGTAGAAGAGTTGGAAACACATATCTTGGGAGGTTTGTATTGAAGGTTAGGAATTAGAGTTAGATCCTAGGATTACAGGAGAAGTTGTCCAAATCCATAACTTGAAGTTAAGGTAGGTTGTAAAGATTGTAATCTATCTTTTGTGGAGGCTCGTAGTTGATTTAGTGAAGTTGGAGTTAAATAATGTAAGGTTACATGTCATGTTTTTTACATCTTTTGAGCCGGGTGTTTTCACGTAAAAATATTGTGTTTTTACTTATAGTCCTTATTGTTTTGTTGGATCACGTTAGGTAACCTGTTTCACACTTAAACGAAAAGTGAAACTCAATAAATTAAGTCGTGTAGAATATCAATTAAGTGTCTTATTTTTTATGTTTTATGTTGTTTTACTTCACTTTCATAATCAAACTTTTGGGGAAATGAAATAATTCTGTTAGATTGATTGATTATTGTTGTTCTTAGAATATTTGTTAATATTGTAAAAATATGACATCATGAGTTGATTTTGTCATTGTATATATTGCTCCATATTAACGACTTAATAAATAAGGTAGTTATGCCCAATGAAAGACAATGTAGAGTCTTGTGAACAAAGTTCATCAACTTCATTGACAAAAAGGAAAATATATGTGGTTTGGAATTCTTTTGCTAGGCTTAAGCCAATATCTAGTGACGAAAAATTTTAAGTTACATGCACAATATGTAAATAAAAACAATGGCTCAGATATTGCTCAATCTAATTGTTCGGGTTCATGAGATATATGAAATTAGTGTTTTAAAAAGTGGGGGCACGTTTTACTTAGTATAGGACGAGACGTAAGTCTCGAAACGTGAAGAGTAATCCCTACAGATCTTTAAATTTATAATTTACAATATAATATAACAATATAATAACACAAAATTATAAAAATACATCAATATTTTGAGATAATTATAAACATGATCAAGGAAACTCATAGAAATAAAACTTCTAACATGATTATACTAGCATAAATAATCTATTTAACTTTCTAATAATAAAATAATCATTATTTCTAAAAATATTTTTTTATATTATACTATACAATTTATTCTCCTAAAAAATAATCGATAAAACTTACTACTAATGTTATAAAAGCATCACTTTATTATGAATAAAAATCAAATTACTTTCAAATAGCAAAATAAAATGTGATAATTTTGAGACATATGACAAAACCATGCATGAATACCAATGATGAGTGAAAAAGTAAATTTGCTATGTATATTTAAAAGAAATGTTGCATACTAAATAATCATCTTCACAATGTTATCAAATAGCAAAAGATACGATACTACAACTTATTATTTGAGTTACTTTAATTTTCTTATCTCTATAAATTAAAATAATTATTAAGTATTATTCATTTATTCAAGAATTATGAAGGTCAACAATTTTAACTAAAGATTTTAACATAAAATTTGTGTAAGATTTATTGGGCGAACCCTGAGCGTTGGGTGTGCTTAGGACGTACAATCGAATGTTTAGGGTGTAAGTCTTATAGAACTAAGTCCCACAGTTGAGTCTCGAGGCATGTTGCTAGAGTCCCGCTCCAGTGCGACTCCCAAAAGAGTGTTTTGAAACACTACATAAAACTATTGCTTGTAATAGAGATGTGTTTTTTACTAGCATTTTTTTTAACAAACTTTTTCGCTTAAATTGTGTTAAATTAAAATTTAAAGTTCAATGCACAAGAAATTATTTGTTAAGAAAAATAAAATTTAAAACATTTTTCTTTTTCCATTCCACCACCTCCTCCCACGTAACCCCTCTCCCGTTTTATTTTATTTTTCTACAATAAAATTCTTTTAAAAGTGAATTTCGCTTTGGCGCGCGTGTAGATGTTTTTTCTACATAAAAGGACAAGGATTTAGTTTTTTTTTTGAGGAAGGGAGGAGGGCGAGGGGAGGGAAAAACAGAACGATCTGGTATCGTGAGATATAATATTTTAAGTTGTCACATTACATGTCATTCTCGAATGTAACATACTTATTATTAAAATATTAAAAGAATATATCATAAATGATATAGCAAGCTCAACATAAAGGATTTAAAATGAACAAATACATCGATATCAACTTTAGATGGTATTCAGCCTAATTTTTATTAGAGGAAAACCCAGTTACTTTTTAGGAAAGTGGCCGTTGTAATGTTGGTAATTAGAGAGATAATTAGTATTAGTAGTAATACAAAAAATTGCAACCAAATATAGAGACGAGCCAAGAAAACTAGCCGTTGGGAGTCACCACTGTGAATAAGAAAATAGGTCATTTTCTGAAAACCATAACGTTCCAATCTTCATCTTCTATAACCAATTTACATCTCTCCATTCTACAAACATTCATACAAAAACAACATCTTTCTTTTTTTGTTTCAAGAATAGTGAAGAAAGAGGGTTTTTTTTCCTCTGTTTTTATAGGTAAAAGAAATGGGTGAATCTTCTTCTTCTTCAGCTTGTCTGGTACGATCCTTTTCTCAGCCTTCTCAAGAACGTACTGAGGTAATATCATCATTTTTCTTAATTTTTAGCTAATGGGTCTCCACAAATTGCATTCTTTTATGCCCTTTTGCCTAAATTTGAGCTAATGGGTTTGTTTACTTCTTTCTTTTGTTAAAATGATGTTTTTTTTTGTATATATACAATGCAATCTTCTCTCTTTTTTATTCGCAGTTGAGCTAATGGGTATTTGGGAATTGAGGGTTTTCTGCTGCTTCGTAATTGAGATTATGGGTTTGTTTAAATGCCTTTTCCTATAAGGGTTTATGAATATTTTTATTGCTGAGAGAATTTGAGCAGTAGGGTTTACTTTCCCTTTGTGGTTTCTGCATTGATCTGCAATACAGACAGTATCAATTTACTGATCAAAATGGAATTAGGGGATTCATACTGTCAGTTCCAACTTGTTTGGCATTGAGGTATAGTTGTTATTCTTGGTGTTGGTGGTGGTGGTGTTATCGTCGAGTTTTAATGGTCTCTTTATTCCCAAGAAGTAGAGCTTATCTTTGTGTGTTTTGCTCCAGCAGAAGCATAATTGCTGTTTGCTTTTTTAGGATTGTGGTGTTTTTTTCATAGTTTATCAGTCATGGAAATTGCTCTTATTTGTTGTTTTCTGTAAGCATGTTGAGGTAAGTTTCTCATTTAGAAGCTGATATGGAAACTTTCTCATTACAGGGAGACCCTTTATATCGTGCATTATCAACATCAGTATCATTTGGAAGATTTATGTCTGAATCGCTGGACTGGGAGAAGTGGTCCTCATTTACTCATAATCGGTATCTTGAGGAAGTTGGGAAGTATGCAAAGCCTGGTTCAGTTGCTGAGAAGAAATCTTACTTCGAGGCTCAACACAAAAAGGCAGCTGCTAAAAAAGCTGCATTGTTGCTAGAGCAACAAAATGCAGCAGTTGATAAGTCATCTGATCTGAATGTGACTAATCAAAACAATGATCATTACACAGGGAACTCTGAATTAACAGAGCCAAGCAGTTGTGTGGGTATTGAAGAAACACAAAGAGAAGAGGGAGAGTTGAATGTGACAACTCAAATTATTGATATGGAATCAGAGCTCACTGAGAATGGCAGCTATGAAGGCACTGAGGAAGCGCTGGGAGATCAGGATCCTTTAAATGTGACAAATCCAACTGTTGATCATTGCACAATGCGCTTTGAGTTGCCTCAGAATAGAAGCCATATGGGTATTGAAGAAGTGCAGGGAAATGAGGGGGATAATACAACAACATGTGGCAGCTATCCTATTCATGAAGAAATTAACTTGGAAACTACTGGAACTGAAAACTCTATCAAACAATCTTATCCAGTAGAGAATGAACTCAAGTCACTGAATCAGCAGGAGAATGTTGTTGTTGTTGTTGAGGTAAGTGAGAATGTACAGCAACTGAAAGAGAAGACACAAACAAAGGTTTGTACCATTACCTGGCTTATTATTCTCTCTTTGTTGCTAAAGTGAGATTCTTGTTTTTCTAATTGAACATGCTTCAATCATGCAGAATGTTGCTATGGAGGGAGACTCCATGTTGTCAACGAAGAAGAAACCAAAGAAACCATTAACCTTAACGACTAGATTGACAACTAAGAATGATTCGTCAAAGTTCAAATCTCGTGTCAAACCGGTGACAGCTCTGCAGCCTATAGCCACTGATAAATCTGCTCCAACTAATAGAAGCAATGGAAAAGTCATGATTGACAAAAAGAAGTCAAATCCAAAATCTCGTCAAATGTCAATCAAGTTTTTTTCTCACAGAGAGGAAACAAAGAAACTAATGTCTCCAATTCTTGAGAAGATAGTGAATTCAAGATTTGTAAGATCCATCACCAAAACATCTAGAGACAGCAAAATTCAACAGACTTCAACTCTGGTGCATTAATTGATCTTTGTCCTTAGTTTCTCCTGCATAGGTTGCTTTTCTGTTATCAACTTAACTCTTTTTCTGCGAAATGCAGGCATCAGTGAGTGGGATATCAAAGCGTCCTCCTGAAGCCCCTCAACGAGCAAATAAAAGGTAAATGTACTGTACTGTTTTAGAACTGAGAGAGCATATTCATGATGACAACGGAGCATTCAAATGTTTTTCCAGAAGCTGTGACTTTCTTTATTGATGAATCTCTCTGTGTGCATCAGTTATCTAAACATTTTACTGAATAGAACAAGCTCTTTGCTTGCAGGTATAGAACGAAGCTTGACCAATCATTGTCTAGAAGCAGGAAAGAAGAGGGTGAATTGGTATCACACTCAAGGTGAGATCTTATGGCATCTCATATTTTGTTTGGGAATATGTGGTTGTTGATAGTTTGATAAGTACTTTCTGATATCTACGGAGGAAAGAATGTTAAGTGTGATTTGTGTTGTTTATATGCATGGTCTTCAAGGTGTGACTTTAATAAAGGTTCCAGTTCTCAATATACGACTTTCTGCAATATGCTATGTATTACTTCTTAAGTGAAGCAAGTAGAGGCAAATAAAAGGTCATGTTTTGTCTTACAAGTTAGTTAGGACATTTTGACTCAAGCTTTTTATCTTTTGAAACAGAAATCTCAAATCAATAAACAAGCATGGAAATGTAGCATGTTCTTCCCCTACTGTATTTTCTCCGTTCAGCTTAAGGAGTGAAGAAAGAGCAGCAAAGCGAAGAGAGGTACATGAAGAGCTAATCAACGTCTATGTTTCTGTTCCTTTTTTCATCTGTTGAATCTGATATTCACTTGTAATCTGTTGCACTTCAGTTCTTTCAGAAGCTAGAACAAAAATTGAACACAAAGGAGGCAGAAAAAGAGCAGCAACAAGCAAAACCAAAGGTTATTCCCGTCACTTAATTCCTAGAGGCGCTATATATGTACTCAGAACTACACACTTTTTAACTAGTGGGCGGAATTGTTCTCATGTGCTTGAGCACATAGAAGAAATTGAATTCTATTTTAAGGGAGTTGATTTCTCATTTTACAGGCAAACGCCACCAGTAGTTCTAAAGTGCTTATTTCAAGAGCTAAACCAAATCCAAGCATTCATCATGAAAGAGAATCATCTAGTAATCAAATGAAGAAGGTAAGCAACAACATTGTTGGCGGAACTGGTCTCATGTTCATGAACAGGGAAGAAGATTGAATTTCACTTGGCTGTATACTAAGGAAGGAGAGTTGTCTTGTCTTGCAGGGAAAAGCCACTAGTAGTTCTAAAGTGCTTATATCAGGAGCTAAACCAGATCCAAGCATTCATCAGGAAAGAGAATCATCAAGTAATCAAATGAAGAAGGTATTATTCTCTTTTCCCTTGATGAGCTAGTTGTTACCATTAGCAACAATCCTGTTATGAGCAGGGAAAAAGAATGAATTTTATTTTGCAGAATGCTTAGGAGAATTGTCTCGTTTTGTAGGAGAAAACCACTAGCAGTTCTAAAGTGCTTACAACAAGAGCTAAACCAAATTCAAGCATTCATCAGGAAAGAGAAATATCAAACAATCAGATGAAGAAGGTACTCTTCTCTTTTCCATTGACAAGCTAGCTGTTACCCTTAGTTTTGCACGGTTGTTGAATCAATGAGGCTGAATCGCTTTCATGTGCCAAAACAGGGAAGAAGATTTAATTTCTTTCGTCTGTGTTAGAATGTCTAAGTGAAACGTATATGTCTAGATTCATACATGTCTAGGTTGATTGTACTTCATATAGAAAATCATACAAAATTTATGCGTAGCCTAAGATTCATATGTAAGGTGCAACACCTCTTGTACATTATTAATAAAGTTAATGAGAATTCTATTTCCATTGGTATTGGTATCAGAGCTTCTATGATCTTGGTAGATACTTATATTGCTGTCCACAGGTAGTACCGGTCAACATTATACTGCATGCTGATCCAATGTAATCTTCTTTGTTTCTTCCTTTGGTGCCCGAAGATGCTCCCTCTATCCGGCAACCAGCGGTCCAATCACTGGATGGCCGTTAAGCTACTGCTCCTCTAGGATCATTTAATAACCATCCTTCTCTTTATGGCAATCGATATTACATCACCAACCTGTTCCTCTAAATCTTGAATTCTTGTCATTGTTCTACTAATTCACCCTTTATCCGACAACCAGTAGTCCAGTCACTGGATGAACGATAAGGCACCACTCCACTCCTCTAGGATCATTTAACCACCCTTCTCTTTATGGCATCCATTTTATTTTACTTTTTGCATGACCAACCCGTTCCTCTGAATCTTGAATTCTTGTCATTGTTCTACTAATTCAAGTTACTTCGATAATATTTCTGCATATTTGCAACATGGTATCTCTTTTTAGTGATTGAGAATAGATTCCTTTTTTGTGAGTAATACAAGAAGCATTTTAGTTTGTCGGGTAGTTTCCAATGCCTTTGAATGAAAAGAATTCCAAGACTGATCCAAGATTGTAAAGATTGAAGTGTCAATTACTTGTGTTTTCAAAATAAGCAAACTCAATTTGATTTTTTTCTCTCTGAGTTTGAAGAGAACATGTTAGAATACCAAGTGAATATATTTCTATATACATACACATCTAGATTCATTTTACTTGAATAGAGAAAATCAAACATAGCCTAAAATCAAATTAATGAGAAGTTCTTCTGTTTTCACAACAATATGCTACCTCTTGCATTCCTGCTTGTGAAAACATTCCTTTTGAGTCAAGGGTCTACTAGAAACAGCCTCTCTACCCCACAAAGGTAGAGGTAAGGTTTGCATACATCGACCCTATGTAGACCTCACTTGTGTTATTACGTTGGGTATGTTGTTGTTGTAATATGCTGAGAAAGGAGAGGTGTCTCATTTTGCAGGAAAAAGCCCCAACTAGTTCTAAAGTACATACAACAAGAGCTAAACCAAATGTGATTCATCAATCAAGAGCTGAATCAAATGCAAGCATTCATCGTGAAAGAGAACCATCAAGTACTGCGCTTAATCATCAATCAAGAGCTGAATTAAATGCAAGCATTCATCGTGAAAGAGAATCATTAAGTAATCAAATGAAGAAGGTACTTTCTGTTTCCATTGATAAAAGTAGATATTACCATATGTAATTGGTAGAGATTTGCTTCCTACTAGATGTCAAGGACACTAGATAATGTTTGTATGCTGAGATATAAATGGCTCTCACCTTTATCTATTTTTGTGGCTTGCAGATGCCACGACAACCTTGCTCTCCTAAATTCAGTGGGAAGCCAGTGTCAGAAGTCCTAGACATCAAACCTCAAAAGCATTGGAGGCTTTCAGGGAAGCCTGAGGGAACAAAAGATGTTAAAAGGGAAAACAACCTTTCAAGGCTTTCAGGGAAGACTGAGGGATCAAAAGATGCTAAGAGGGAAAACAACCTTTCAAATCATTTCCCAGTGAAAGGTAGATCAGACAATCCCAAGTCATTTATCTGTGAGAGTATGTTGGAAAATGCTTCTCCAAATATCCAAGTTTAAGACAGACTGCTGCTGATCCATAAAGAGAGCATTTTCCCAACATTTAACAAAATGTTGCTGCTTTTCAATTTTGAACTTTCAGGGGCCATAAATGTGTGCATACAAGGCTGTTAAGACATTGCTTCAAATGTCTAATGCAATAGGGTGTCCAGTTTGTGTTACTACTCGAGTGGTGAAATTCTGCATGTTTCCGTATATCAATATTTCCTATTGACATAACAACGGAATGTATTATATGAACGTTAGGTCTTGTCTGAATTTGTAAACTTCAACAATATTCCTATATATGCAACTAGTACAGAATAATATTTCTCCCAAGAGTTTGTGACAGAACCAAACCCCAGCAGTGTCCTTTGAAATCTTGTAAAGTATCATTGTATGTCATCTTATGCAAGCACTGATTTTCTGGAGAGTTTATAGTAGGCAATCTGCAAAAGTCCCTTTTTGGATATAACAATTTTTCAAAGGGATTATTAGTGTTGCAGCTTGATAGTTGCAACTCATGGCCTCACAAAGGTTGAGCACATTTGCATGTTAGCCCTTACTAAATCTACTTACAATACCAGATAATTAAGAAGCTTACTTATTCTGCTAAAAATTTACCAATGCACTCAAATACATTTTTGTGAAGATCTTTCACCAAAATCAAGCTAAGCTACCCCCTAAACCCCCCCCCCCCCCCCCCCATGAGAAGCTGTCTAGCATGCCAGTTGTTGATGAGCACATAGTCTACCATCTAAAGCTTCCCATGGGATAAAGGTTAGATTATGAACAGACCTTGGTCTATCACATTACCTTCCAATGAATCAATTGGATACTCATAATCAAACCTCAATGTATCATACAAGTATGTTGGAACTCCAGAAATGGGTTGTGGATCATTGTAGTCAAATTGTTCTATGTTTGGAAGATCATTATTAGCTAGAAAACATTCCCCTTGAATAGAAGCACCATGTATCTCCTCACCTACAGATGCAACAATTGATCCACTTCTCAAAGTTAGATTTCCCGGGCTTGATTGTGGACCATTGACTACATTGTGACTCGTCGCTCTCCATGTAGTACTTGGCATTTGCTCAAGAGTATGAAAATTTGTTTGTTGATGACTCACAGTTTGATACAAGTTAACATTACTTTCTACTGGAGAGAACTTCCCTACTACTTCATTTTTGGTCTTGAAGAAAGAAGGTCTATTTTTTGTATCCGGATGTCTGTCCCTTTCTTCATGAGAAGGTGTATGGTTGACAAAACAAGTCTCTTGTGTGCGATCAACTGGGATTTGATGAGAAACCACAGGCAGTAGCTGGTGACATAACCCATTAGCTGACCGAAAATGTGGTTTAAAGTCTTGTTGCTTGTATTGAGGTTGTGGAGCTTCTCCAGTTGAGCAATATGGAATGGGTACCTTAGCACTTTTTACATTAGTATTAACCAATCCAAAGGAATCGTTGAGGCCTATCTTTGAACCGGTAGTCTGAGGATCAAAGTTATCTTCAACCACAGACCTCGGCTCAGCCGCTGGCACTGAAACAACACCCTTTACCTTGCTCTCACATATGTTGGATTTCCCATTTTGAACAATAGTTTTGTCTCCAGTAACACAACCATACTTTTCATTTGTAACATCAGTGCATGCATCCAGTGAATTCTGAAGGCTGAGACTAGAACAAATTTCTTTAGAAGAAACATCCGGATGCTTCGTCCCAATAAATGAGGCTTTAGCTTCATCTTCTTTCTGCAACCTAGTTAAGTAGAGGCGATACTTCTGCAAGAAAATGATATTGTTATGAGAACTTTTTCACCATTCAATTTATGAAACTTCAACTTTTCGAAAGCAGAGAAGACCATTCACATCAACAAGTAAAAGAGATACTTTTTCTTGAGGCTTCAAACTCTAGTCATTAAGACTACTATGAATGCAGAGTAAGGAAATCCTTTTCTTGCATGGCATGCGTGACGCATTATACCTAACCTTTTAACTTGATTTCAATCTCAACAAAGCCCAAACTTTTCTTTTTTTTAGCTCAAACTAATGTGAGTATACTTGCCATCTTTTCTTTTATTTATCTCTAATCACCACAAAATATCTATTAGTTGAAATCCTATGGATCTAAAGGCAGGTACCTTTTCACTATCTGGATTTGATTTTATGTTGGAGGCAACTTGCAAGAAACAGCATAACCAAATCTGGTAGCAAATGAGTATATGTTGGCAACACATGCCATTATCCCTCATAAGAAACACAAGTTGTAAGAATATTTACCTGTAAGTGCCTAGCAACATTTTCTCTAGTCAACCATGGGATACCCATCAAGTCAAGAATCTTCTTGGGACCAACTTCTACCATGCATAAAAAAACATTATCACAATTATATGGATAGAAATTTTGAAGATGAAAGGAGCTAAAGTTTTGATTTTTATCATTTGGTGTAACTTGAGAGTAAACAGAAATTTCAATGAACTTACTGTCAAATCCAATCTGGTTTACAGCTTTGACAAATTTCTGATGAAGATCTACAGTCCAAACTACTCTAGCTTTCTTCATAGAAGAAGAATCAACACATCTTGAATCGGACATTTCTCTTTCATCGTGCTTATTCTCAAAATCTTTTCTTTTCTTTCCTGAAAGGATTTCAGCTCCATTAAGAATCCACACTTCATCATATTGGTCCAATTCATGATTACCAATATCCCTTGCTTCCTGCATCTTTTTTCTGAGTACATGCTGCCATATGTTTCTAAGTTCTTTCATCCGTATAGGCTTTAAAAGATAATCGCATGCACCATGTTGAACACCCTTCATCACCCTGCTTGTTTCACCATCCACAGACATCACTGGAAAGGTATTTTGAAAAATCAGTGCAATTGTAGTGGACAAAAGTGAAGTAGCCAATTAGTATTAGTTCAATAGTAACTCTTGAATGAAAGAGAACTGACTTATGACAGGAAGATCCATCTCAAGTCCAACATGCTCCAAAAGCTTAAATCCATCCATGTCAGGCATGTTAACATCACTGATCACAATGTCAAATCCATCCTTTCTCTCTCGGAGCACATACAAAGCCTCTCGTGCTAGACCACATGTCGTCACTGAAAGAAACCAGTAATAAGGTCTTCAGAAACCCAAAGATTGCAACCATAAAAATTAGAGATAAATGGATCCACTTTACGCTAACAAGTAGTCATTGGTATCTTTGCTGTGCATCAAACATCGACAAGTCAAGCATACCATCTAGATATTTTAGTAAGACATGGGTACTTACAAGCAATTAACTCATAAGCAACAATATGCTCTCTGCCTCAGCACCAAAATAATACAATTGAAGAGACAAGACGCCTGTTAGGATCTTACAGTGAATCCACATTGGTTCAAAGCAGTAAAAGTTCAGTAGAAGCTATAAGTTTAAGACTGCATTTATCGCTGCAGCATCCAAACCAGAAACACGATGCACAGCTAATTATAAATGACCTAACTCCTGAGTTAGAAAATAAAATTGCATGATAAAAGCATGAGAATTTGTAAAACTACTTACTCAAAGATAATCAGAAATCATCAATTGATATTAGTGGCAAAAATAAGGTGATCTTCACAAAGGAGGAGTTCACATGCCACAATTTATAGCACTAACTTCAGAACTTCACTAAATGCAACTCCAACTTGCTACAGACCAATTAAATTATAACTTACTATTTTTTTCACTCAAGCATGACCAAGTGCAGAACTCAAAGGGATATATTTACATCCACTAAGAGATGAAACAATTCAATGGAGCTACAAAACAAAATCTAATATTTAATAGTCTGCCCAAAAATAACATCAAAGATGATTTACTTTTACTATACATGTAGACAAAATAAGATGTCAATAATTGAGGGGTCAGTCTTAAGAATCCTGAGAATTAATTTTATTTTCCCCCCTTCTTTTTTGATGCCTCCATGAGTTTGGCCCAAGGGGGAAAAGAAATATCATTTGAAATAGTATTTAAACTTTGCAGAAACAACACTCTACAAAAAAACTTGTTTTACTTTTTTGATCCACTCTTCCATTCTAACAATCAACAAAATAGTTCTGTAGTAACTTTCCCTAAACAGTAAGGAACTTTTCACATGCACATAGAAGGCATCAAAATTCTGAAAATGAAAAAAGAACTATTTTTTTCCCAAAAAGAAAGGAACAAACAACAAATATAGCCTTAAAATCAAGCTAAGAAGATGAACTGTAGAAACTAGAGTTCAATCTTGATCATCCGACAAAGTAAAAAAAAATGAGTAAAAAGGGTGTCTTTTTCAAGTGATAAAAACAGAATTTAAGCTGGAAAAATGGTGTCTTTTGTAGCTAGAAAATCCAAGAAACAAAACAAATGTAAAAAGGGTGTCTTTTTCCAAGTGGTAAAAACACAATTCAAGCTTGAAAATACAAAATTATGCAAGGAAACAAAACAAAACAAAACAAGTATAAAAAAAGGTGTCTTTAAACAAAATCCAAACTTGAATCAACAAAATCAAGAAAAGGGTGTGTTAAAAACCTTGATAAGAACACTTCTTGAGCATTTTTTCAAGAATCTTCAACCAAGTAGGATCATCATCAACAACAAGAACCCTTAAACCAGCTGGAAAAGTATCAGTTCTTGGAGAAGAAAACCCAACACTGGTTTTACTATTCTCCATCATAAAACAGCCAGATTCTGGGGGGAAAAAGGAGTAGATCTTATTAATAATAAGTATATAAATAGGAACAAACAGAAGTTATAATCTTATCAACTCTGTTTTTTGTTTTGTGTTTTTATGTGTGATGTGTATGAGAGAGAGAGTAGGAGGGACACAATGAAAAAAAAACATGCTTTTAAAAAAATATAGTGATAGTTCCATCTATCACTATTTGGCATTTGCCCCGGCTACTACTACTCTTGTTATAACGGTTCATATGAATTACTCCCTCCATTCCATTTGATGTGATGGACTTTGACTCGATACTAAGTTTAAGAAGAAAATAAAATTAAATTTATGATTTCATATAAATGATAAAAATTTTGTAGTTATAAATGATTTTAAAATTAAATTGTTATTTAATATAAAAATTATGTTATTTTTTTTATAATGATTAAAAAGGAAAGTAAGTCATATAAATTGAGACAGTTACCATTTTATATTAGTTTTCATTTTCTCCTTTGTATGTTTTTAAATAAATTATAATAAGAAAAGTAAACTTTATTAATTTGCTCTATTTTATATGTAGTAGAAGCAAATAAGGTAGTTTGTGCTAGATTGGTAGAGAGCAAAGATTAAGAGAGGAGATGAATGAACACGGTAAGCTATAAAGTGAAAGAAACGTGA